TATTTCAAGTTATTTCTAAGATTAATCGTATTTATAGTATGTAATGTCTTATAGTAAATAGTTAAACGTCTCATAATTTTGTATGTAGAGATAAATTGATTAAAGGTGTGTGATGACAAGTATATATGTGTATGTGTGAGTTTGATTAGATTAGAAGTGGAGTAGTTACTTATTGCGTATAAACAACATTACTATTTAAATTTCGCTCCAAGGTGAAAAGTTCTGATAACTTTTCTTTATTCCTTCGATTTTTATACTTAAGCAGTAATTTTTATCCTACTTTAAGATAGATTCTCAGGTTTTATTGCTAGTAGAGAAAGACACGATGTAAGTCCTTCCTAATTTGTCATTTTAGGTACGTTTTATAGCGCAAGTCAAACGGTTAAGGATAAACTCCGTGCGATTTATATATCATGATGGAAACACAAAGAGATTCACGTGTGAATGTAAAACATTTTGTACGTACGAAACATGTCGTTTGTACGAATGTTTTACACGACTTCTTTATTTATTCTGTAAATTCAGGGTCATGATTTACTTACCATTGTATATTAGACTCCGAATATACAGTGATAGCAAAATCGTATAGGAAACGTGGATGTTCATAGAAACATGTAAGTAAATAAAGATATTCACGGAGCGCTCGCAAAACAAAAAAAAAAATAAAAAAAGAACGACAGGCAGTTAAACGAGCCTGTAGTAGAATCAGAACACTTCCTTTCTGAATTACGAACTAATTTTTATTACATGACTTATGAGAAATTACCTTCAGACTTTAGAAACTTCAGAAACTTCAGAAACTTCTTTCTTCTTCGCGCTTTCTCTCTTTCACTCTCTCTCTGTCTTTCTTTGTCTCAGCTAAAACGTACGACGAAAGCTAAGAGTTGTGATGAGAACAAAGACGACCGAGCAGCAAACCATTCATCAGTGTGGAACAACGAAATGAAGAAGTGGAAAGAAGTAGTCAACTGCACCGTGTTATTGTGCAAAATCCATCGAAGAAGCTGGATCTGTTCTTGGCACCTAACACACACTGAGCAGTCTAAAACCCTGCAACACACACCAGTTTTCCCTTACTGTACCCAACCATCTTATGACAATTGCAAATTTATCTGTATTTAATTTCCTATTCAGATAATTATCTGTCAAGTCATAAGCTTAAATTGATATACAGGATGGCCCACTGGTCAGTTATCGACTTGAAAAATTCAACAAAATATAACATGTATTAAGTACATATGTATTAAGTACATATACATTATTTGAAAAATCTGTAACTTATTTAGAAATAATATATGTTTAAGATTCCTTTTATAGATTGGAACTTTAGAAAACTAAAGATGATAATAGACCTTTGAGTTACTCTGTATACATATAATTTCTGAGATCTACTGAATGTTTTTCTTGCAACATTATATAAAAAAAAAAAATATATATATATATATACATATTTACAATAGATATATATTTCACTAATAAAATTGCAATTGAAAGAAATAATATTTGTAGAACAGCAAAAGAACGAAGCTATATATATTTCAAAACAAAACAAAAAACAACACAACAATAAATAGATGTAACATTAACACTTTCCGTGTCACATGAGTATTTTAAATATAAATTTGAAATACTTTTATAATTACCATGAGATATATTTTACTTAGCAATGGAATTTGGCTCATGATATAACATGGATCATTGGTTGCATGTAAAATTGATTAAACAAAAACACTATTAACAGTTATACATATCAATACTAGAGTTGTTCCCAAAACGAAAATATTATATAATAATGTGAATAAAGAAAGTTAGAGTCAACAAAGAAAATTAAGATACAGAATGTGCAAAGTTTTTTAATCATCGGAAAAAACATTCACTAAATCATAGATGTTACAAAACAAAGCATTATAATAACGGCTTTTTGATAGTCAATTCATCTGAAAGATTCCAATGTTAGATATCGTGGCGATACCTATTTGCGTCCCGCTACGTCGCATTTCTTATACGCCATATTGTAAACGTTTCGTTGGCAAAGAGGCGTACCTTTTAGCAAGGAGCTCCTCGTAGAGAATCTCCCAGATTAACAAGCACGACAGTACGATAAAAAGAGATACCACGAGGAGAAAATGAGTTCAGAGAAAGAGAGTTCCCGCTAGAACTCATGTAAATAACGGAAAATATAATCTTTCGCATCGCTCCAATAGATCCGCCATTATGGGCGTAACGCCATTATGGGTGTATATCGTATAGGACTAGATATCGGCGTGAAGTGCCTGGTATGTTCGACTTACCGAAATTACTACGCAGAAGCGAAGTATTTCATGATGCAGACGCTGACTACGGACGGCGCAAACAATTTCTGACGCGATAAGCTATCGAACTTGGGTCTCGACGCTTTCCGAGTGCTCTCTCCTGTTGCGTGAAGCTCGCTCGAGAACGCTGTCGTCGCCGTGTCTTCAGTCGAGTAGGCCCCGTAGACTTTGCGAACCATCGACTATGAAATCATCAGATGCGACACTCATGCGCTATTACGTGATAGTTTATGGTTCTTTCCACTGAAATACAGGGTATCCGGTAACTGATCGAGCAATCCTTTCACTATAGGTTTGTTGAGTTGCTTGTACTATTCACACTTTTACACCTAATGCCCGTTGCACGCTAGTGCATTTCATACAATACAAATTTTCCAAAATACGTTCTGAAGACGCTTTTAGGACGGAGGGATGTCATCAGAATATTTTTAGGACGTCTTTTGAAGATGTGAGCTGTCCGAAAATAGCTAATATCCAATAAGTTTATGCTTTAATTGAACTTTTTACACTTTCACACTTAGCACATTAATTCTTTAGAGGTTCTAAAAATGACGTCATGAGTTCCGTTCGTGTTACGAGTGTAATTGCAATTTTGATACACTTTTTACACTTGATCCCAAGCAAGAGTGAAAAGTGTATCAGAATTGCATTTACACTCGTAACACGAACGGAAAACATGACGCTATTTTTAGAACCTCTAAAGAATTAATGTGCACTAAGTGTGAAAGTGTAAAAAATTCAATTAATGTGAATAAACTTATTGGATATTAGCTATTTTCAGAGAATTCACACTATTGAATATCGGACGTCGTACGTTGGAACTGGACGCAGTGTGAATCTTGCATTAAGCCCATTCTACAATTGCGTAAGCGTAGCGTGAACGTAAGAGTCAACCAATCCGAATGTTTTATTCACTGATTGCTTTACTCTGATTGGTTGTCGTAATCACTTACAACCACTTACATCCACATTCACGCAATTGTAGAATGGGCTTTAGGGTGCTATTTCGTGTCGTACAAGCTTGACAAGCTTGACGTGACTACTAGTGTATAGAAGTCTGTGCTCCCTTCGCATTTAAATTCCGATCTACAATAAGTGTAGTAAGCTTTAAGCCTTAAGAAATTAACCAATCACAGTCGATTATTCTCCTCAAATTTGATTGTAATTGGTCAATTTATTAAAGCTTAAGGTTTAAATCACCTATGTAGATCGGGTCTTAGGTTTGTGTCCACGATGCTAGAAATTGGACCGAGATCTCGATCCGAGAAACGTGTAACTAATAAAATTGTCGCTTTTCCGTAAAAGCTGTAAATGGATTGGTTGCTTTTTTCTTGGATCTAGATCTCGGACTAATTTCTAGCATCGTGGACACAAGCCCTAAGGCTAGTAGCACACAAAAACTTAAGCAGTAAAATGTAAGCAGTAAAGCTGGTGGCACGTAGAAAAACTTAAGCAGTAAGACGTAAGCAGTAAGCAAATCAGCCAATCACAGTCGTTGATTCTTGGACCGTAAGAAGAATCAAAGACAGTGATTGGTCAATTTGGTTACTGCTTACGTCTTACTGCTTAAGTTTTTCTGTGTGCCACGGCCCTAAGCAAATTGACTAATCACAGTCATTGATTCTTCTTAAGGCCGTGGCACATAGAAAAACTTAAGCATTAAGACGTAGCAGTAAGCAAATTGACCAATCACAGTCCTTGATTCTTCTTACGGTCAAAGAATCAATGACTGTGATTGGCTGATTCGCTTATTGCTTACGTCTTACTGCTTAAGGTTTTCTATGTGCCACCAGCTTTACGGTCCAAGAATCAACGACTGTGATTGGTCAATTTGCTTACTGCTTACGTCTTATTGCTTAAGTTTTTCTGTGTGCCACGGCCCTAACACTTCTGCACCTAATGCCCGTTTCGCACTAGACGCGATGAGCGGAATCCAATGAATGCTCTTCTTTCTAGAGGGCGGCCCAGTGTGCAACGGGCGTTAGGTGTAAAAGTGTCAAAAGTGCAAGTAACGCGACAAATGTATTGATTTACATACACTCAGTACTTGGGCATATTCGAGACTGGCGGCAAATCGTTCGCGCGTGGCGTCGTTCTTCGTTCGTGGCGTTTCAGACGGTCTAACGTATACGGGACGAAATGGCGATGGCAACGAGTCAAGTCAAGGGCAGTGGATGGCCGAGGCGGGCGAGTAATAGCTCTTTCGAGGGGAAAGTGGTGCAGAATCAATCTGTGACCATCAACAGAACTGTCAATCTGTAAGTGGTAATGTAAGGTGTGGTTTAATTCACGTTCTCTTGGAGTTCATGTGTTTTGACTCTCTGTAGACCAACTATGGCCGCAGCGAGAAGACGCTGGCAATTAAAATTGTGTTCCTAAAGCCCTTTCTCTCGTTACAACTTACCATGGTATAACCATGAAGCGGCCGTTCATCTTTTCTTTAAGCACAAAGGTCCGAGATTTTAAGCAATTCGTATCCGCCGATCTCTGTATACGTATCTCGCCAAAACATCTAGCTTGTCATTCGTGAGATCGCGAGAGAGAGAGTAATGTAACGAATGTATTATGAATCAATGAAGAGCCATTATGACTTGCACATCATTGACGGTATCGTGCAAGTGATAGCTATGCACAATTCGCGACGATATCACTTGCTTAGAATCCTCGATCTTATAGGGTAATTCTCTTATAATGTTTAGTACATACGCCTTATTCGCACAAAGCTATCACTTGAGATGTATCGATATCAGATTCACATTCGAGCGTCATGCATCACTTCCTCTCCAATGATGTCGTTATGTTGTAAACTAATGTTGTAAAGTCTATATTCGTGTAGTTATTGTCATAGTTTTCTTTTGCATTCACAATACGAAGTGAATTGTTGATTCGTAACGTGCGTGCGAGGACGGAGATTTCCGACATACTGTCACCTTTTTGGATTTAATTGTCGCAAAAGTACAGTAAATACATATATATATCTTAAGAGTTCTAATGTGCACGATGAATCAGATGTAAGTTGAAATTGATCGAGGCTGTCTTACTCTCTAAGTTTGTATTCCGCGATTTTCAACGTTCAAGAGATCCCATACATGTTTTCCTCACAATTTTGCTCTTCCATCTTGTAGGTTTGTTCTTTTTAGCTGTCTTCTGCACTATTTCTGCACATTTTTAGCAGAAATAACATTAGATAATTTTCTCCAATATAATGTGAATATCATCAAAACATTCAATTTAGTGAATACAATTTATTTATAATCTGAAATTATGTAAGGGTGATAATTTCAAATATAATATATAGACAACAGTATTTTATGTATATACACACATGTATGTGTATATATATATATATATATATATAATATATATATATATAATATATATATATATATATATATATATATATTTATTTATACATGTAGATATATACACATGAATAAAATATAAGACAGGAAAAAACATGAAATATCTAGAAACACATAATTTGTATGATTACTTTATTATTTTCTATTGGCACAGTGTATGAAAATTATTGTCATTTTGATTAATGTATTCTTTTGTTCTCCTTTGTGTTTTTTTATTCGTAAAAATTTATATTGCTTTGCGTCACCTACTTTTGTTCCAGTGCAGTCCCCGTGCAACTAAAAAGAACAGGCCTCATGTAAGATATATCATATTTATATGTATATGTATTTTGTAAAAAGCATATAGTCACATATAATTATATATCTACATATATATATTTTTAATAATATTTTAAGATAGTATGTAATATACATATTGCGAGTATTAGTTTGTTATAAGAGAACAATAATGAGTTCTGCGTGCAGAGCACTGCAATGTTAAAAAGGAATAACGTGTTGTTTATAATCAATCAATCACTTTTGTCTTGTTAGAAGTAACATGTACATAACTAGAGATTATTCATCGCTATGTCACTTTTTGCCATATCTAATGCATTGCTGTTCTCTATGTAAGAGCTATGAAGACTCTTAAAGCAAACATGATTGTATATGATATTTATGTAATATCATAAGCGAATATATGAATTATTACCACTTTATGTTTATAATTATATCTGCATTTGTAATACTATATTTCTGCACATTGTTTTACACCTTGAATTAGACATTGTAAAATATTCTTGCAGATATACAGATGTACAATTTTGATTGACATGTACAAAATTTTGTGATTGAGACATTTTTCAAATATCGAATATTAATGATGAATTTTATTGAATTGTTCCGTGATCAGAAAATTCTTCAGAACGTACAATGCTTCATTACAAAATTACTGCATATATAATTGAAATATACAAATATATTTATCGAGAATATGTATAAAGGTAATAAATGGCGTAGATATAAGCGATTTTCTATTAGTCTGTTGAAATATGCAAGTGGAAAATAATTAAGTGCGCATGTATTATTTGCTTTTTAATACATGTGCCGATGATTATGTCGCCACAGAAATAATAGATCATCATATTTCAGATATATCAAATTTGATATATCGATTATCTTGATATATCGATTAATCAATTACACCTCACGTAATAATATATAAAAGCAATTGCGTATGTTGTAATTCGGGAGAAACATGCAATTTTATGATAAATGAAAACTTCTGTATTTATATATGAGATATGATGCTATTATATTGCAGTATATTTGTATTTCGTTCCATATTTACAATCATGTTTAAATTGCACTATAAAACGAATAATTTGCAATGTTAATATACAAATACAAGAGATATATAATGAGAGTTGACAAATTTACTCTTTTCGGAATTATGAATTTGCGGAACATATAGAATCACATAGTTGTTTGTAAAATTTTTATATATGTTTGTATAAAATTTGCGTGTTTATTATTGCAATACTTTTATTAAATAATAAGGAAATAAAAGCAATAGATCTAATATAAAAAAATAAAGGCTCTTTTTAACAATAAAATAATATAATTCTTTTCATAATTGAAATATGTACACTACTTTTCTATGTTGCTCGTGATATAGTACAAAATTATGCTGTTAAAACTGAAATATGGAAACTAATATTGGTTTAGTAGAAGGTAAACTTTCATGTATCTAAATTGTCAGCACTTAAGTAGTTTTTACACAGTCGAATATTGTAATATTATGTCAAGCTTTATTTTTGACGAAAGTGGATTTAGTTTCCGACGGATTAAGTTAAACATATAAGAGCCTAACAGAAGCATACGACTCATTTATCATAGATATCCTTTGACAAACTATACATTTGGAACAAAAGAGCCACTCTTCGAGAAAGATCCGTCAGTACCAGCAAGGTTTCAGCGCATGAGAGATGAATTCGACAAGATCGGCATGCGGAGAAGCGTAGAAGGTGTCTTACTGGTGCACGAACACGGATTGCCGCACGTTCTTCTTCTCCAACTCGGCACGACATTCTTCAAATTGTAAGTTTTTATTTAAAAATTGCGAGCTATGTGCAACTTAGCAGAGTGTATTACACACACATTGAGTCTCATTGAGCATCCTCTTATTATTCCAGACCTGGTGGAGAACTCAATACAGGAGAAGACGAGGTAGAGGGCCTAAAACGGCTCCTTACAGAGGTAACAGTTAGCACGACGCCTTACGCTGCCTTACAGGCTGGCTAGGAGTGGCACTTTGATATGTTAGACTGTAACATTGTCTTTATAAACATCATTGTACAAATCCTGCAAATGTTTGTAGAACTTATGTAACCGGGCCTGTAGCTCCGTATAGGGGCTTGCTCTTTTATTCTTATAATATTTTACACTTGTAGCGTGCTGCATGCCCGGACAATTCGATGTTCGTAATAGTGAGGATATCAATTATCGTTACATTGTATTTGGTTAGCTAAGAACATTGTTCTTATCCTCCTTTTTTTTGTATATGTTAGAGAAGCAAACGGAAGAGGTATGATACGAAGAAAATGTACAGCAATATAAGAAGATTGTATATTATATCTTTCTTGAAATTTTGTAAGCTCGGAGATTCGTTTGTATATCGAACTCTAGGGTTTAGCATCTCGTTATAAGGAGGAAATATCTAATCGGCACGACATACATGTAGGCCTAGTCCGGATTTCATCCACAATTGTTAGGCCACGGCGTAATTAATAAACTTGACATTGGTAACTTTTGTCATATTCTTGACTGAAACTATCAATGTGTGTGCAACAGTGCGGTTTTGTCTAGTTAGGAATCGGTAAGATACGTAGTAGAAGCCGTAAGTGTTTCTCAGGAAAGGTACATGTGCTTTCGGCAAACAGTCATGTAGAATTCAAACGAACGCATTACTACGTATTGATTGTTAATTCGAATATTGTTAAAATTGATGCTATTATGTGACCACCGAAAAAAATGTTTCGAGATATGATAATATACATTGTGCAACCATGTTCTTAGTGGACTGACTAAGGAAGAATGTATTTTATCTTTTAGTTCATCCGAAATTCTTATCAGTACAATATCAGACAACAAATTGGATTGATTTCTAGACCTTCGGACGACAGGATGGGGTGAAGCAGGAATGGGTTATAGAAGATACGATTGGCAATTGGTGGCGTCCAAACTTTGAGCCGCCTCAATATCCATATGTACCACCTCACATTACAAAACCAAAAGAACACAAGAGATTATTCCTTGTACAATTGCAGGAAAAAGGTATATCCGCAGACTTGATTGGAAAATTTTCAGTCAATATAAATTATATATGAAATTAATTATATATATATGTATATAATTTGTGTACATAATATGTGTATATATAGAGTTAGTGTTGTAAGTATACTAATAAACATTCAACTGTTATTAGCTCTTTTTGCTGTTCCGAAGAATTACAAATTAGTTGCTGCACCATTATTTGAATTATATGATAATTCACAAGGATATGGACCCATAATTTCATCTTTGCCACAGTCATTGTGCAGGCAAGTCTAGGAACACATGCATACAATGCAGATAAATAAAGTACATTGCATTTTATAAGATTGCTTTTTTGTTTCAGATTTAATTTTATCTACATGTAAAACAGTTATATAAGATCAACAATACCAGACTTAGATTATGAGGATTATTTTAAGAATAGTTATGTATGTGTATGTATGAGAAGATGAATGATTTGAGAAATTCTATTATACGTACAAATATATGTTGTATGTACAAATATATTGTATGTACAATTTATGGCAGATCATAAATTAAATCATTTTTCAAATAGTACTTACTGATTAGATAGTCTCTATTGTATTAACCTTGACACATAGTTATAAGCTATTTTGTCTTCGTTAATGTTATTTTTATAGCAAAGAATAACACTTGACAAATATAACTTGTGTAATTTCGAGATGTACATATTTTTGCTGTATGCATATCTATAATAAATTGTGTTAATTTTTAAAATGATACAAAAATTATAAATCCACTGAATATCTTGTATCCCTTGTATATTTTTACAAATCCAGAATATTTTTCTCAAATGTAATAAAGTGTATTGCGCGCGTGTACAGTTATTGTTATTGATTGTTTTTATCTCTTCCACAATGTAACATTTTCCTAAAATAAACTAATTTTATTCGTTTGCTAATTTAGTTAAAGATTTATAATTACGATTAATTTTATACTATTAAAGAGATATGTATGTGTCATACCTGAAAACTCTTTCGACTAATACTACACTTATAAATATTATATTTTATACATGTATGTTTACGATGATTGTCAAAATATTATAAGTGTCAAAATATTATAAATATATAAATTGGCACGTAGATCACGCTACTATTTTCTTATATTTCTTCAAATACATTTTTCCTAAATAATATAAATAGATTTTACATAAATATAAGTAAAACGCATATAAATGAAACGCCTGATATTGCCGCTATTTTGTTAACAAATATGCTTTCTTCCAATTTGTTAATGTACAAGATGAATTATTATGATATGCACAGTTACCGGTAGAGGTTTCAATTATTCCGTTGCTGCCTTTTAGCAAGATTTAATTAATTAAATTATATTAAATTTCTTTTTTCTTTTTTTTCTTTGCCGGTTCTATTAAAATAAATATAATAAGTATCTTGCGTTGTATATCACTTTAGACATTTATAAATTTTTCATGTTGATATCTAATAATTTATACAATTTATTTAATATATCTTTTTAGACTATATTTCAATCATCTTGATTTCTTTTTAAAATTAAAAAAATTATGATTTTCTATATTATCGATATCAATTGTATCGAATGAATATGTCGATATTTTACAGTAGATAGTGTATCGTGCGTTCTACAAGATGACGCTGTAAGAATAAACGCACAGTGTGCGTCTTCACTATACATTACATGTCATTCTGTACCAATCATTTTGTATGCTTACATCGCTCTGGTGATAATGCACTTGTGCGTTTATGACGTTCACATCACACAGTAAATGATTAACAAGTCTCAAAGAAATAATAGAAAAAACCGGCCGCAGTGCAGGAGGGATCTCGAGGTTGTACTCTCTTTTTCTTACTAATTTTCTTTGTATTAAGTGACATTTCCCTGCAATTTGCTTTTCTCACATTATTCGAGCAGCTTCGAATCGAATGGCGTTATTTTGACTATAAGTGATTCGCGTTTAATGCAGTTATACATTCATTACAGAACATTGGTAATGATTTCGCTAAGAAATAAAGTTTGATCACTCTAAGGATGGAACATATAAAACAAATATTCTATATATTTCTCATCTTATCGGTGTTGCATTGTACAATATCAGCTTATTATGGAGATGCATTTGCTCAGCAGACCGATGAGCCTTCTAAAATTGGCTGGCTCTTTTCCAATGCCGCTGTTACAGTCAAGAGGACTCAAAGAAATATACTAGAAACCAGAAGAGAACCTGAAATTGAAAGTTTACCGATGATCACAAATGGCAAGTGTCGTGATAAGTTAAATCATCTCTGTGGAGATATAGGCAGGAATAATGATGAACTTGTACTACTTGAATGCATTCAGACTTTTAAGGTATGTATAAAATTAGAGGAGAAAAGTTAAAGTTTCATAATAGAAGTCTAATAAGTGTTACTTTATAGCCTACTGAGATATCTGGAATTGATCAGAAGTGTCAAGAGGCAATTTGGAGCTATATCCAGAATATCACAAACAATCTAAATATAGAGAGATTGGCTAGAAAGGCATGCGGTAAACAGTTGGACGATTTACAATGTTCCAGTTCTGATGGAACTCATGGAGCTTACCTGTCCTGTTTAATTGATAAACGAGAAATGGTCAGAGATCCTGATTGCATCACATATATTCAGAGACTGGAGTGGATTGCTTTCAGTGACTTTCGAATTCTGATTCCCTTCAAGATAGACTGCGCAAATGATATTAAGAAGTTCAAGTGTGACAGTCTGCAGCCGTACAGAGACATATCACAGGGTCAGATATTAGCCTGTTTACAAGAACACGTTGAGAAATTGGAACAGAAATGTAGGAGGCATATTCTCCATGTATCTGAGATTCAAGCTGAGAATATCAAATTGGATCGCCAGTTATATATGGCTTGTACTCAAGATCGCATTAAATTCTGTCCTAATGTCCGACCAGGCAGTGGTCAAGTTTACAAATGCTTAATGCAACATAAAACTGACAGGTAATAAATGTTAGAACAATACAAATAAATTCAAGTTCTGGAATTTTAGTAGTTTAACAATGGAGTAGTATAATAATTAACAATTTTAATTTTTAATTTTTTTAAATTTTAATTTAAAAAATTTTTAATTTTATAATTTTAGTGGTTTAACTAAAATTCTCTATTAGATATTAGAGTATTAGATATTCTGTATCCTGTATATACTTACTAGTATTTTGAGTATTAGATATTAAGATATTTAGTAGTATCTGAGTTTTAATGTATCTGAGTTTTAATTTTTAACACAAGAAAATCTAGAAATTCTAGAAATGAAATAGTATAATAATTGATAATTTTAATTTTTAATATTAATTTTTTTAAATTTTAATTTTTTAATTTTAGTAGTTTAACACAATCTAAAATTCTGAATATTAGATATTAAGATATTTAATAGTATCTGAGTTTTGATGTAACACAGGAATCTAGAAATTCTGTCTTCATATTAAAAAAAATATATATTTCTACTGATAGATCAATGTCTGGACAGTGCCAAGAACAGTTGACGAGAAGAGAGAAGCTCATTGCTTCCGATTACAAGATTAGCAAGGGTCTAGTCAAAGCCTGCAAGGAGGACATCAGAAATTATCACTGCAGACGATCCGTGTCTGAAGACAAAGAGATCAAGTTGGCGCAGATTTTGCTCTGTTTGGAGTCGGCCGTGAAGAACGGCAGCAAGATAGACGGAAATTGTCAGGCGGAAATGTTCGATCATAGGAAGCTCCTGATGGAAGACTATAGATTATCGCCGGAGATCGTAGACGGCTGCGCCAATGACATCACAATCTTCTGCAACAGCCTCGAGGTCGGCGGCGCTACGATACATTGTCTAATGGAGCATACAAGAACGAGGAAAAAGAAGTCCAGGGTTACGATAAAGTGCCAAAGAGCGGTAAAGAACTGATTTCTTTGATCAGAAGAGCTTAGGGAGGATTCTGAGTTTCTAAAGATTAACATGCTCATTTACGAAAAAAAAAAAAAAAAAATATTTCTGAGAATACATATACAATACAATACATATACAATACAATACATATACAATACAATACATATACATATACAATAAGACATTTACAAAATATGTTTGCATATTTTCACCGTCTTCTTATGAAATATTACTGTTACATTAATTTTAGTTGGAGGAATTAATTATGGAGGCCGATGTCGGCGAAGATTGGAGAATTGATCCGGTTCTAAGGGAACAATGTCAACCTGTGGTTAATGTAGCTTGCACAGGCGTGAGTAAATTTTATGTATGAATGCGGATCTTCTCATACGTGTGTTAGAGTCCATATATAAGTATAAGCGAATTCTAATTTACAGGAAATTTTAAACTTGGTTTTTTTATTAAACATATTTTACGATAATTTTTAATAAACACGAAAATGGCAAATTGCGATATTGCAATTTAGAACAACCCTGAATAAAAGATCGATAAATTCCTTACGTTAACTTAATTAGTTGCATATTTAATTTAGGTGCACGGTGGAGATGCCAGAGTAATATCTTGCTTAATGGAACAATTAGGAACGGAGAGGATGACCGAAGCTTGCGAGATAGCCTTGGTGCAAATACAGTATTTTATCGCTAGGGACTTCAAACTTGATCCACAATTGTATAAAGCGTGCAAATTCGATGCTGTACGTTTGTGTCATGCGAGAAATGCGTGGACAAACGACGGCAAACAAATGGATCCCGAAACAGGACCTCTTGTTCTGCCATGCTTGTATCGGCATGCATATCAGAAAAATATGACGGTAAGATTAATAAGTAGTAATGACAAAAATTCTTAATTAAATTAGTTTAATAATTAAACTTTATAAACTACAATAATGTCTGTGTTATATGTCTGTGTTATATTAATAATTTGTTATTATTATTTCTGTGAATAATACTCTTGTCCCTGATTTCTGTTTCCTCTATATTGTATTTAGTTGAGAACGGATTGCTTGGAAGAGATTAGAAGAGTTATGAGACAACGTGCTGTGAATGTTGACTTACAACCTGAAATAGAAGAAGTGTGTTTCAGTGAGCTGGCGTCGTTCTGTTATGATAAAACTGCAAAAGGGGAAGAGATTCTTTGTCTGCAGGATAATTTAGACAAGTATTTGTCATCTTAAATAATGAATATTATACACAAAAAGAAATTTGAACCTATCTAATTCTAAATGATAATTCTTCAATTGTTTAAGAAATATGAATACAAGAATTTGATTATGTGATCTTTCCATTAAATTCGATAACAGAATATTTGATAGAAGAATATTTTTTTAAGTGTCCACTTTTTTGCTTATATATAAAAAACGTGATTACAAACTATTTTTTATGCCATTAAACTTTTTTTGATTATATATCTTCCCTGTCTTTTCTCTCTCTCTTTCTTTCTCTCTCTTTTTCTCTTAGTCTCCCTCACAGAAATATTAAAATATAAGTTTATGATTTAACCTGTATTAATTACAGCTTGAACAAAAAATGCAAGCTTGCAGTTGGAAATTTCACAGAAGAACAAGCGGAACGTGTTGAACTGAATCCGATCATCTCTTCAGCCTGCCAACACATTATGGAACGTCATTGCGAGGTATATTTGGTGCGAAGTATTATTAAATTTACTCTGTCAACTTTTTTTCTATGACATTAATCTATTTTAGGAGGTACTGAAATATGGAAAAGATGAGGGAGACATGATGGAATGTCTTATTGAACACAAAAATGAGCTAGACGCACGCTCTGATTACAAATGTAAAGCAGCTGTAGAACATTTCCAACTAATATCCTTGAAAAATTATCATTTTACATACAAGTTCAAGGAAGCGTGTAGACCTTATGTTAAGAGATGGTGTCCCAGGTAATTAAGCTGGAAATATATTAAATTTAAGAAGATTTTTTCCTAAGATTTTCAATCCTAAGATTTTCAATGTCCTTAAATTCGAGGATAATTTTCGCATTTCTTTGTCAATTTAGATCGAAGACGAAAGCCGATGTAATAGAATGCTTAAGTTTGATCGTGCAAGAGGACATAATGAAGGAGTCCCAACATCGTGTACTGAAGGATTGCAGGCAGCAACTGCGGGCGCAACTTTATCAGCAGCGGGAGAACATTCATTTTGATCCTGTTCTGCAAACAGCCTGTACAACGGATATTAAACAATATTGCTTCAACGTGGAACCAGGCAATTCACAGGTAGCGACAGTATTATCTGATATGAAGTGGCTATCTTTTACTCTTTGTATTCGTATATTACATATATATAATTTTGATTTGAAAAATTTTGCAATTAATAAAAAAATTACGATTACTATATGTATTATTAATAAGATAAATAAAAAAATGATCAGTATATATAAGAATTTTTGAGTGGCTATTTAAACAAATATTAGTAACGTTGAACCACGTTGAGAACTAGGTTGTTTTCAGGTACTAGAGTGCTTAGCGTCTCACAAATCTAAGCTATCAGACGTGTGCCACAAACAGCTGTTCAAGGTAAGGAAGCAAGAGTTTCAGGATAGCTCCAGTGACTTTCCCTTACTGAACACTTGCCGAGTCATGATCAGGCAGTACTGTCACGATGTGAGCAAATCGCAAACTCTGGATTGCCTTAAGCGATACAAGGATGAGCTCACTTTTGACGACAAGTGCAAGAACATTGTAATTCGAAGGATGATTGAGCAGAATACTGACTACAGGTTCAACAATGCATTACAGAACGCGTGTTTCTATGATATCGATAAGCATTGCAAAGAGGTAATTCAACATTTGTAGAAATTTAATTACAAGCTGAGATTAAATTTATATCAACAACAATTACATTTCTGATTTAATTTTGATAATTAATGTGTAAATGATATCTTAGGTATTGATACACGAACCTTCTGACAAGGAGCTTGAAGGGAAAGTCATAAGATGCTTGAAGATCAGATTCCGTGAATCTAAATTGACTACAAAATGTGAGCATCAAATGGCTAATATTCTCAGAGAGGCTGCGCTAAACTATCATTTAAATCCATTATTAGCAACGATGTGTGCGCATGAGGTAAAATATGATGGGATTACAATAGAGAATGCATGAGCCAGGACATATTGTTCGACTAAGTGCAAACTCGTGAAATTTGCCTTTGTCAGATCGAAACCATATGTCGATCGGAAGAAAATGAGCCCGGTGCCGTCGAGGAATGTCTTAAGAGGAAATTTAATGCCGGAAATCGAGACATGAAAGAGGAATGTCGCTTGGAAGTCGCTGATCTTATAGAACAAACGAGGGCGGATATCAACGTGGATCCTTTGCTGCAGAAGGCTTGCGCTGTGGACGTCAGCAAATACTGCAGTGCCGTTCCTCAAGGCGCTGGAAGGCGTACGTAATATTTCCTACCCTTATAGAAATATCATACTAAGAATCATTGATAATTACTTATTATCCAGTATTTTTAATACTGAAAATAAGTAATTATCAATGATTCTTAGTATGATATTTCTATAAGGGTATAGAATTTTAAATATAAAAATATTTTTCTAAAGTGATGAATAAGGTGTGTTGCATATTGAATTTATTACGCTTACATGGTTAAATTTACTACACGTATATGGTATATGAGAAGAGTATAATAGTAATTATTTCTTTATTATTGTATTACACATACACAGACATAATGTGTCTACAAAATGCGTTGGAAGACAGCAACAAATCTTTGCAACCCGATTGTTATAAAATGCTGACCACAAGGATGGAAATGTTTAAGAATGCTGCCAAGGTCTGTAAGGGATATTTTTTTATTCTTGATGTATATCTTTTCTACTTTGATAATCCGACGATAACTGTGTCTTGTTTATCTTTTTTGCAGTTGATTGCACCAAACACTATCGAGGAGCTTTATACGTCGGTGAATCGTTCCCCCGCGCGACGTTACTTCATGATTGTCGGTTGTACCATGATTGGGATTATTTTTATCATTGGAATGTTCTGCGGCCGAGTGACCAGGCGAACGATGATCATGAAGAACAAGTGACGCCGCCGGCGTCCGTCCACTAGTGAAATGACTTTCGTGAGATTAGTCGATGGACAGCAGACGTAAACTGTACCAGATCAACCGCGCAAAATGCAAGTTTACGAGATAGACAAAAGGAGATATCGATCTTTTTATACATTTGTTTATGAAATTTTTGAAGTGCCACTCTTTGTATTTATGGTCAGAGGTGGAAACGAGATTTTTGATGTTGCTGTTATGCACAAGTGGCATTGCAAGATTGTAAGTGTGGAGAGATGATACTGGTATCTAAAGGTATAAGAAGGTGTAAGAATTTAAATATTCGGAAATATTATGTTACTGCAATATCGTGATCCTAAGAATACAGGGTGTTTTATAAAATTTGCCACAAGTTTCGAGAGCGTGGTTACATTTGTCGACAGTGACGTTCTTGGAACTTGTCACAAAAGTTACGAAACAAGCTACGTTACCTAATTATAACTTTATATTCCGTAGAATGAGATTTATTCGTCGCGAAAAAAGGTAGAGAAGAGTGATATTAACTTTGACTAGGATCGATTCTAGGATTTTTTCCGAAAGAAAAGAACAACGCTATATATGTATAATTAATTCTTATTTTTTAAAAATTCACTTAAAAGCGAAACAAAAAAGAATATTCAATACTGGTATACTCGATATTGGAATATTTGATACCGGACTTATGAAACACTCGATATTGGAATATTATGCCACTCGTTTTGTATCGCTTTATATCGGGGCCTAGAGTCGATCTTGATTCGGAAGGTCGTATGCAGAGTCGTGAACAGAAGGTCGTGACAGGAAAAGACGCAAGTGTAACAAGTAGAAAGCGCAGCAACGCAATACTCTTCCCACTGTCCCTTGGGACTTGCTCAAGCTTTGCAATGCAATGCATGAGCGAGAACGTGTCTGAAGATTCCTTATGGAAGAGTTCTCGGAGAAACTCTGTATAATGCTCACGAGTATATTATTCCTGTGGGATGCATGTGCGGGCTGACTTCCCGCAGGGACGACTCCGCATACGGACCTCCGAGAATGAACGCAGAGCGAAACGCATTTGTTGTCAAGCGTGTCTCAATGTCTAAATTTTCTGTACGTTTGTGATATAAAGGTCCATTAAGGGAACGAAAATAAAGTGTCTGAGATTGATTTCAGTCCAAAGATACACCGGGCACAAGTTATCTCAGTCTTCCACATTCAAGTTTAAGTCCCTCCACCAATATCTCGAGGAGGATATACATCCTACGATATCCACTAATTGTCACATTTTTTCTTGGTTATAGATTCCAAATTAATTCATGGCTTTGTTAACAAGAATATATAGATGAATATTAGAGGGAATAGGAATCGACAGGTTCTGCTGGATACTATTTTAACATAAATTTCAAGATTTAGATGCGTTTGATTTCGAAAATGAACAGATTGTTGCAGAGATAATGTATCTGTTCCATATAAAATTATAATTGATATTAAATTACATGCAAAATTGCATATTATGACATTAAATTATTCGCAAATCTATACCAGAAAGAAAATGCGATAATATACACTGGGCAGCCCTGTATGAACAAAAATTTATATCCTTGCATGTACGATGTTTCTCATGTGTAAATATCTTAAAATTATAAATTTTTATTTGTCCCGAAATATATATCTACATGTATATAGGTGTAACGAAATATGAATAGTATAAATTATTTACCACGATACTAGTAATTTTCTAAAGTAACTAAATGTGATGAAATAATTACGTGTTAATAATGTTAAAATGATGTAAGCCTGAGTGTGCGCGCGCGCGTTTTTGCAATAATATTCGATATAATTATGTAATAACGTGAAAGCTTTATCACATAGTCGTATGCATTGAAAATAAAAATAAAAAATCGGCGTTATTAAGAGGAAGGAGAGAAAATGCAATCATGCAACCGCAATCGTCGCGCTTCTCGTTTGAAGATATTGGAAAAACCGAATGAATTGTTTATGCGATTTTGATTCTTGCATTAGATTTTATAAAATATTATCGATATATTGCTGCTACACATTTGTCACGCGACGTGTGCGAACGAGTAGTAGTGCGTCCGATAACATTCGGCGGTTGCGGTGGGTAAACAAATATAGTCGACTGCTGCTGTAACGTGATAAAGGACGCCATGTTTATATTGTACATTCGCGCGAAGTGGATCCGTGTTTTGCGCGGACTTTTTTCCTTTTGTCGCGAGATATTGTCTGCGAGTTATTTCCGCGCGTTCGGCGATCGTATAATAGCGTTAATTTGCGCGTGCAGTTACGATTAACCGTGTATCTCGATATTCGCAATTATCCGTGCTGATTACGTACTAGCAGCGCGGAATATACCGCCGATGCAAAAGTAGGTAAATTAAAGTAAGTGAGTAGAAATTTAACCCGTAAATTCAATACAAACGTTCTCGCGACTCAAAAGAACCGGCGGACGAGTTTCTCTCTGCACTGATCTCGATCTATTTTAACCTACACTGAGAAAAAAATATTTAAAAATTTATTTGTGTGATAAAAATTTACTTTACAGAAATAAATTTTAGAAAAATACATTTTATTTCATAGAAATAAACTTTATATACCACAAATAAATTTGTATGTATTTTTTCTTAGTGTACTTTACTAGTGTAAACAGAACCTTTTTTATTTTCATATCTGTTTCATCTTACTCTTTTCCATGATTCCATTTCTATGTCGCAATAAATCTCTGTCTCGCAATTTTTAGACACACTTAGATACCGGTTATTCTAATAACAAAATCGCAACAGAGACCTTCACATTTATCCGTTCTCTACACTAAGAGAGAAAATACCTAAGAGAAAAACATTTATTCTGTGGGTATTAATAACATATTTGCTTGAATGTAAATTCTTTTATTTAAATAGAATAAATTTTAATAAGATTTAAATAAGATTAATAAATTTAAGTAAAATTAAACATTTAAATAATGTTTTGAGATAATGAATATTTTTTATTCGAAAAATATTTTATATTCAAGTAAATATATATTATTAGTATCCACTGAATAAATATTTGTGATTTTTTAGATATTTTTTTTTTCAATGTAGGGAGAGAGAGAGAGAACGGTAAACGATTGAGAAAAGATGAAATCGTTCCTTGATCTTGGAGGTTAAAACAGCCTTACTTCGATATGGAACTTTATACCGAAATAATTCCCATCGATTCTTATTAAATCTGGTTGAATTCATCTTTGCTTCTTCTTAGATCGTTCATATTTGGCGAGAAAGAGGGGGAGGGGGATGTATCGAAGCCTGATGCGTCGATTTGCATTTGATTGATTCGATTCTTGAGTTCAAATATCGATGCAAATTCAGATCTCTTTCTTGCCAATATGGACGCCGGACGGGTGGAAGCTCGAAAGTGCCTTGCATATCGAACATCTTTAAACACGAAATTGGAGTGAAAAGTTCGACTTGGTGTTTTCGGTAAGCATTATCCGTGGAAGACGAATCCGCCGTGCGTATTAGTTGTCACGATTAACGCGCGATGTGCGAAATACGTGCGATTACAGTCGGCCGTGTTTTTCAGGCAGAGAAGGTGGCTGATTCCTCAAACAATATCGCTGTGATCTGTCGGTAACTAAAATAAACATTAAGATCTTTATCGACCATCAAAGCGGTTTGACGTCACGCGCGCGCGTTGTTTCAGGGAAAGCTGCTTCGTTTTCTTACAGTGAAAATGTTCACAAGGTAAGATTCAAACATGTTTCCCCCGTCTTAATCAATAAATTTAACATATTAGCTACTGTGTGTCGATTATGGGCGCGTTCCGTTATACGCTCGCAACGCTCGCGAGCGTCATTCTATCTTTGTTGCTCATTGATGTTAAACAATAAATGATGTGAAACGGAACACGCCGTATGTTAATAAGATCAAACTTCAAAATCACAGAGTTAGTTACTTGGGAATATATCTATTTTGAGATTTATTAAGTTGCTTGGAAAATAGCGGTGAATGGTAATACGGAATAAAATGTGTTAATTTATTATTATTACATTTTTTTTTATTATTACATTTATTAATAAATTAATTATTTAAAATTATTTATTTAATAATAAATTTATTATCACATTTATATTTCGTTATATTCATGTATAGTATTTTGTAATATTTATATATTATATTTTTTCATTATATATATAATTTTTTTATATTATATATTTTATTTTATATTTTATATTTATAAATATACTTATATATATATATATATATATATATATATATATATTTTTTTTTTACGTTATCTTTATATGCAGTGGATATAAAAGCGATGCTTTTATTTGTGATTTCTGTTCGTGAAGTCTAAAAGATTTCTACATAATTTCAATTATCAAGCTTAATTTTTTGAATTTTTATGGAAAGTTTTTTAATTTATATCTTTTAATTTATATCTTTTATGATTTTAATTATCTTTTTTAAATATTATTTATGATTTTTCGATTTATGATTCAAAGGGATTCAACAAAAAGAGTTGTTGTAATATTAGTAACAACAAATTTTGTATTCTTTAAACGGTTTACTTTTTTCCTGATAATTATAAATATATTATAAGAGATATGCTTGCTAACAATTACTGATGCAATTATTATATTTAACATTTCGTTTTCCGTCTTGAAAAAGTTCCATATTCCCACCTCTTCCCGTGTGTTTTGCGAACCGGAAAAAGGCGATGCGGTTCGGAGGGAAATTGGCGACGAGAGAGGCGGACGACAAGATGACCAGATATCTCTGCAACATATGGTGAGTGATTATTCATTGTCGCTTGTATACGAGAGGTCTGTTCTTTTTAGCTGCACTTCACGTACTCGCGTACGTTTCTCTCATTCTGCCTCTTCCGCCAAATTTCAAGTATGTACGTGTATGTATTTCATTTCGAGTACGGAAAGCGCGACACAGTGCAAATAAAAAGGAGGGACCTCGGGTCTACTCGCGCGTCGTACTTTCTATACTTTTCTACACTCTCGTCCTTTTTCTTCCCACTCGTTCAAACCACACGCTACATTCGTTTCGCCCTATAGCGTGTTCGATCCACACGATTAGGTCGAGTGCAATTAAGCCCAATTTTATTTTTATTTCACTCGAAGCGTGTTTCACATCCAAGCATGTGTCTCGAGCGAGAACTTGCTTGAAGGTAACATATAAAATACAGCTGAAGATGCTTGATAGCGACGCATATATGAGAAAAAGTATATTTACACACACGTATATAATATTCTTTCACACAGGAATTAATATTCTTTTGTGAAATATACGACACTTTTAGAAGAAAGAAAAACTATAGAAGTCAATCTCTTTTATAATTCGCACTCAATATTTTGTAATTTTATATATCGTGTGCACAGTACGGATAACCTTTTTAGCGTCCATAAAATCAGAATATTTTATGCTTCAAATGTATGTGGGAGTTAGTGAGAAAAAACATTGTTATTTCCAACGAAATATTTTTTGCTGAGTCGCGACGTTGTAACGTTAGTAGTTTAGCAGCTCATACGAAGCCACACTCGGGAAAATATAATTATATACAAATTTTTCCTTTATACAGAGAGAATATTATAGTTTTTATTTCATATTCTTTGAAATTATATTTCAAATTCTTTGAAATTTTACCGTGCTTTCAATAGTCCAGGAATAGACTGTCAGTAAGGTATATCTTTCTATAAGTTTATATTACTTCACAGACAGCACAGATCTTCCAAGCGACGTCTTAAGGAGGTCCTCAGGACGTCTACAAGACGTCCTTTGAAAGTGTGTACTGTCTTGATTTTTTATAGGAACATAGTGAATTTTGTCAAAAATATAGCAAGTGTTTTATTTAGTTCTTAAGATGTAAATAGCATCTATGAAATGAAAGGATAGAATGAATTGCAGAATGTCAATCTGCTCCTCGGTTACAAAGTCCTATGATTTTTTCCAGTAGCCCACTTGATATTGACGTTTAATGAAATAGAACTATTTCTTTCTTCATTTAACACCATTTTTTTGGTGTGGATATATTTATACATGTTTATACATGTCCACGCAAAAAAAAATACTGTTAAATAAAATAAAAAATAGTTCTATTTCATTAAACGTTAATATCAAGTGGGCCATATAAAAATTTACTTTAATTGGGAAACATAAAAAATTTACTTTAAGTGGGAAACATAAAAACTTACTTTAATTGTACTTGTATAGCAGTATTTTCCTCGGTATGAATATATGTAATCATATATATCGCTATCTAAACGGAGAGAATTTTACAGTAAAAACTACCATAGGACTTTCCTTACGGAAAAATATTAATGAAAAAACTATTGAGAATAGTATAGGAAAACTTGAAATATTATTGAAAAACTATTGAAAAGTATTGAAAAAATATTGCGTAATTATTATAGCATTATTAAAAAACTTATTCATTAATTTTACAAACAGTTTTGATATAATTTTTCAATAGTTGAAACAGTAGTATTTTCATCAATCAGTAGTTTCCCAATCAATAGTTTATAATATTTTTTTGTAAGGATTTGTAGCCGAGGAACAGATCGACATTCTGCAATTTATTCTATCCTTTCATTTCATAGGTGCTATTTACATCTTAAGAACTGAAATTTGTACTGTATTAAAACACTTGCTATATTTTTGACAAAATTCACTATATTCCTATAAAAAATGAAGACAGCACACACTTAAGATTATAATCATATGTGTGTTATCACACATGATTATATACGTCACCATATAGAGACCAAATTCATGCACATATTATAAAAAATCACACACACATATAATTATATATAATTTATGTATGATCCACATATAATTTTCTTATATATAATTTTATACAATCTTTTTTCCCGGGCATATAAGTTATTAGGGAGTGGAAGGTTTCGAGCAAAATAGACATTACAGGTTTGTAAACAAACAATATAACTTTCCATTCGTCGTGACCAACGCGTCAATAGAATTCCAATTTTGTGGCAAGTTATTGAGAGAAGCTAAATATTGACATTTGGAGAATCGTGGCATGCGATGATCTCAAGTGATAATCTCCTTTCATGAGGAGATTGATATATCCAAGGAAATATTGATACTCTGAAAGATTGATATTGAACGTCTTCTTCCGCCAGGGAAAACATTACGCACCCACTTGCCGCGCGCATTCCGGAATTTATACCGTATACAACTACTACGGTCGGTGTATAGTTCGGTGTATGCTGGCTAAAAGAAAAGCACATCTCTCTCGATGCTATAATAAATCTTACTAAAGCCTCCCCCCGTAGCCGGCTCGGCGAGAACTTCTGCTCGGAATAACGCAGGCGCCCACGCTCTCACAATTCTATAGACTTCACGGTAAATTTCGTTGAGAACGCGCGATACTTATCGCGGCGCGTTATTTCATATAATTGGTTTACCTTAAGTGCCGCAATTATACCAGTTCAACGCCTTTATCGAAGCACGATTGCGCGGCAAATTGAATTAGCGAAAATTCGCGATGGGGGTTCATTGAGGTCGAGCTTTTTCAAACAAGCCTAAACGGGAATTACAATCAAATATTAGCCATTCGAACAGGCCTCTTTGTTTGTCTTGCGTACAAATTACTGCTGTGTCCACAAATATTTACGATTTGAAATGAAATGGGAAATTCGGGGTGGGGGAGGGGGAGAGGATGAAATGGCTCGTATATGAATAAAGATGACGTAAATACTCGCAGTGCGGAAAGTAGAAATGACAATACATAAATATTCAAAGCGCGGATCAGAATAACCAGCTGACCTGTTAAGAAACATCACCGTGCAATATTTAGAGAACGTCATCGCGCCGCTCGAAGACGCCACCGACCGCCAAATCACCGTCAGGAAATTGTGCCGGCATCCGTTGCATACGAAATCACGGGAACGTTGTAAAATTAAGAGGGAGAAAAAACAGGGAACGAATAAGAGACTGCTGTGTTCCGTGAATTCCAGGCGGAGCTGCGGATTTTCTATTATATCGAGCCGGTGGTTTTCGCAGATAATATTGTTTGCATTCTACAACAACGCATTTATACCTTCGTGTCGTGAAAGGCAAAAGCACCGCAATGTAACGTGAATAAAAAAGTTATGCTAATCGAACGTAAATAAAGCCGCAATAAAGGACGAGTAAAAATTTGCCCGCGCTCGATAACCGCGCGTAAAAACATTCTATTTCTATTCATGCTTCCGCAACGGCCGCCACAATCTTTTACTGTCGCAAGCGAGAGAACAGTAAGTTAAGCAGAGAGAGAGAAAGAGAGAGAGAGAGAGAGGAGAGAGAGAGATGTGCTTTCTATATATGCATATATATTTCCGTTTCGCGACGATGAAGGAAGGCAGAAGCATTTACTCCGCTTTATTCATACGTCCCGCTTGGAAGCATAAAAACGGCACGAAGAGAGAGACAGTTGTAGCAAAAGATTAAGATTGAGATCTAGACTAAGTGTTGGAAGCGGAAAACCGACGTGTCGAGGTCGGTCGCTCGGAGCATTGGCAAGAGAGAGGAGGGGTAGATCATGCGCTCTGCATTCACATTGGTTCTCACGTAGGGTGGCGGGCTTGCAACCCTCAGTTTGACGCCGCGTGCGAGCGCATAAGGACTCATCGCGACCGCCGTCATCTCGCGAGACGCAGAGAGAAAGGGAGAGAGAGAGAGAGAAAGAAAGGGGGAGGGAGAGAGAGAAAGAGAGAGAAAGAGTCGTTCAAAGTCATTTTTCCAGGGGAAGATCCGCCGCAAAATGACCACCGGCGGGATGAACCCGCACGTTCGATTCATCGATCCAACTTGAGGTCGATCACGACACGGCCGATCGGGAAGCAAAAAGAAACGCATCGTCGTGAGAGACACGCCATTCGTAATTAATAAGGTGGATTGCATGCAGCCGTTATGAGAGTCACGCGTGAAAATGCAAAGGACACGCGGAGGAATTCGCGCAATCGAAGTCGCATTGACGTGTACAATTAATTCGATTGACCGAAGTCTCTTTCTCTCTCTCTCTCTCTCTCTCTCTCTCTCTATATATATATATATATATATATATATATATATATATATATATTCCTCTCTCTCATTCTCTCATTCTCTCTCGAACATTTATGACAGATGGACGTTTACGAGCGATTCGCGTGTAATTGTTCGGAAACGATTAATGACGGGTTCGGCGCGCGACTGGGAGACTTAATTGGAATACAAAACGTTATTGCCGATTAATCGGGAAAAATAGCGCGCCGGTTTCGATTGGATTTCCACGATTTTCGCTGTGCGCGTTTTTCGCCGACCAGAAAGAGAAAGAAAAGGGGGCAAAAGGGGCAAAAAAGCGGGGAAGGGATTGAAAGAGAGTCACGCGTGAAGATCCCTGGGAACGCTGCAATCGAGAAAATGGAATTAATTACCGGGCGGCTGTTAGGAATGAGCGCGCTTTGAGGCGATTTTTCACCTGAAGAGAGACAAGGTGTCAGTGCAAGCCGAGCTTTCCGAGCCGTGCTTTGAGGCCTCGTCGAAGTGTGGTTTTGTGATGGGGGGAAATATTAATTTCGACAAAAAAAGCGCGGAGCACTGATTATATATCGCCAGGAGAATTCGATTATTCTCTTCCAGTGTGTGTGAATTCTCTTTCAGTGTATGGCAGCATCGCGCGCGACTAACGGTTCGCGACGTCGACTTTTCTCCAAGAGTCTGCCTCCCTCGGAGTAATTTATATTGTTCGTTGGAGAGCATTCCTCGCGCGCGGGTGTACAGCTCGGATTTTCGCGGCTTTCGTTTCTGTCCTCAGACGTCCGACTCGCTCGCGAATGCGCGGAATAGAATGCCGGAAAATTGCCGTCGACGAGATCGGTCTAATTATCCGACGTTGCGCCGCAATCCGGCCGATTAACATTCCGATGTAAATCGAATATTCGTGGTCTTCAATATTTTACCAATTATGATGAGTGAATTAAATTATTTGTCCGATTGCGGAACTTTGGTTTGTCAGAAAAAAAAGAGATAGAGAGAGAGAGAGAGAGAGAGAGAAGAAGAAATCGAATTATTTAACTGATGTTCGAGCATCAAGTAGATCGCAAAGCAACTATTAATTTGCGCGATTACGGAATGACGTACCGATAGTGATTCAATTTCCGCTAATGGCAGTGAAATTTTCTGGCGGAGGGAGGGGAGAAATTCGCGTAGCACACGAATCTCGACGTGATTTCCGGCGAAAATCGCGCGGCACGCCGTTTGATTCCCCGATACTTCCGGCGAAAGCTGATTATCGCGTAATAATTCTGTGACGGTGCGTTCAAGTTGAGTGATTTATCGGGCCGGCCCCGTTTTCGTCGCGTTACTCCCGCGCCTCATCAATATTGAACGCCGTCGCGAGAAAAGAGAGAAACCTCCCTATAAAAAAAAAAAAAAAAAAAAAAAAAAAAAAAAAAAAAAAAAAAAAAAAAAAAAAAAAAAAAAAAAAAAAAAAAAAAAAAAAAAAAAAAAAAAAAAA